GCAAATCTGAATCCAGACCTGTTTTGTGTGCAATCTCCTATTCGGTGCAATATTAAATATATTTTTAGAATATTCTGACAATATTTCAAGTCTAAAATATCTCTGAGGTTGATTAGATGGGTGCTTTTCTGTCTAATTTTTGCTTGCCTCTGGTGGTCCAATGCTAATGTCAAAGTTATACTTGAAAGACATGTGAAAATGAGGGCAAGCTAGAGGCACATGTCTTACACAGTTGTGTAAGGACCCACCCTGAATCTCTAGCACCGCATGGTCCCACCCCTGGGTATAGCCCTGATGGCCTCCTTCTGAGCACCACCAGGTAGATGTGACCCTGGCGACCCCCAGCGCTGAACTAAGTGCTGCTGGGAGTGGCCCAAGTGCTCCTGAGCACTGGCCCACAGAGAGTAAATATAAAAGGAGCAACATAGGGCTGGAATGATAGTACAGTGGGGAAAGCATTGGTCCTGCATGTGGCCCACCCGGGTTCCATCCCAGCCTCCCATGTGTTGGTCCCCTGAGCATTCCCAGTAATTCCTGAGTCCAGAGCCAGGAATAACCTGAGCATCACCGGGTATGATCAAAAGAGAGACAAAAAAAAGGAGTAAAAAGTAACAGAATATTATTAAATATAAGGGCTGGAGCGATAGCACAGCAGGTAGGGCGTTTGCCTTACAAGCGGCCAACATGGCCGACCCGAGTTCGATTCCTCCGCCCCTCTCGGAGAGCCCGGCAAGCTACCGAGAGTATTCGATATGCCAGACACAGTAACAACAAAGTCTCCAATGGAGACGTTACTGGGCCCGCTCGAGCAAATCGACGATCAACGGGAGGGCCTATAAGAGTAGCAACAGAGAATATTTATCAAGTTCTCTCTATTGACCAGGCACCAAGAACCTTACACATATAAATTCACTGGTTTGAAAGCACCCATTGATAATAAATGTGTACCCTCTTTGAAAGTTCAGATTCATTGCCATAGAGATGTGCTTAAATACGTACCCTAAGGAGACCGGAGAGACAGTACAGAGGGAAGGCACTTGCCTTGCACACAGCTGGCCCAGTTCAATCCCTGGTACTACATGTGGTCCCCAGAGCATGGCCAGGAGTGATCCCTGAACACAGAGTCTGGAGTAAGCCCTGGACACTGCTGGATGTGGGCCCCAAACCAATAAAAACAAAAGGAGCAAACAAAACCAAAATAAAAATAAATACATATTTAAAAAAAATTAAAAAATAAAAAAGTACATACTATAAAATAATTCTCCTTTCAGGAGAAAAATTGTTGCTGCTTGTCAGAGGGAAATAGGTTTAATCCAAGTAAAGGCCTCTTAGTTGCATGAAAACATATTTTCTACCATCTGCACAGCCTCACTAGAACCGGAGTTTCATCTTTATCTCTCAGAGCCCCTATACCATAAATCTTCCTCTAAACATTCAAAACCTGGAAACGGCATATGTTGCCTTTAGACCTAAGAGAATGTCCCCTGGACATCTCTGCTTGAGCATGTCAAAAATCTCGAAAATATACCCCTTTATGTATTTTGTGAATATTCTTTATTGGGGCCAGAGCGATAGTACAGTGAGTAGGGTGCTTGCTTGCATGCAAATGACTTGGGTTCCCAGCACCACACATGGTCCCTCAAGCCTCACCAGGAGTGAGCCCTGAGCACAAATGGTATGGCCCCCAAAAAGCAATAGCACTGTAGCACTGTCCTCCCATTATTCATCGATTTGCTCGAGCGGGCACTAGTAACGTCTCCATTGTGAGACTTGTTACTGTTTTTGGCATATCAAATACGCCATGGGGAGCTTGCCAGGCTCTGCCATGTGGGTGGGATACTCTTGGTAGCTTGCCGGGCTCTCCGAGCGGGACAGAGGAATCAAACCCAGGTCGGTTGCGTGCAAGGTTTAAGGTTCTTGCCTTTTATGGGGTCGACCCAGTTGAGCTCTGGCACCACATAAGGTTCCACCACCCTGAGTACCACCAGAAGTAACCCCCTGAGCACCGAGCCAGGAGTAAGTTCTGAAAACAACCAGGTGTGCCCCCCCACCCCATCAAAAAAGGATTCTTTGTTGGCACGCCTGTTGGAAAGGAGGAAATGAGAAGAGTTAGCCAGCGCAACGTGTGGTAAGGAGAACTGATCATGGAAATCCTGATTCTTGTGCCACCAGCTGGGGCAAACGCACACACCAGTCCTGAGAGCCCAGGGGGCGACTCGCAGGTGGCAGCTGGGGTGGCTCATTTCCTGGTAGTGCTGGAGCTGGGGTGGGGGGGGGGGGATTGCGCCGTGCCAAGGATTGAACCTAGGACCTCCTGCAGCCCTCTGAACCATCTGCCAGGCCCTCGGTGATATGACAGATTCTCCTGCTCTAAGTACCAAGAAAAGAGAAGGGCTGGGAGGACACATCAAGTACAGAACTCACACGGGAAGTAAACTTGAGAAGGGCAGCACAGGGAGCTGGGAAAAGGGCAGGACCAGCTATGCCAAGTCTCCCACATCTACACAGTCAGAAGCCCCGCTGAGAGACAGGGTAGGTCCTCCAGGGAGCCCAAAGTGGGAAGACAAGCTGCTGGGAGCATGAGAGGATTAGGGGGAGGAGGCGTCTGCAAGGCACAACCGAACACATGTTCAAAGCACGGGCCTCCTCAACCACAGTCATTGGAGGTGCTGAAGCGAGGGCAGGCCAAAGCTGTGTGCATTCTGGAAGATTCTAGAAGATGCACGCAGGGAAAGGAGGGGCCCCTCACCTGGCTAAGCACTGGACTGCCCCTTTGGTCTCTCTGGCCCGAGGTAAACAGGGAGGCAGAGACTGCCCACCCCTGGGCAATGAGGGGCAGGGATACTGCCTCCACGTGCTGCTTCTCACAGGGACGAAGACCCACCAGGTCACACAGGAGGAACGGTTGGATCCCAATGACTGCACCCCACACAAATGCCTCCAGGAAAGAGAAAACTGCAGGAGGTGGGGTACAGGGTAGTGACATCCGATATATGTGAGGCTCGAGCCGATCCCTACCTCAAACATATGGAGGGGATCTCCAGGATTCTCCGTAGGAAAGATGGTGAATGGTAGCAGAGTAGAAACGCCCATCAGCCAAATTCTACCCCCTTAGTAATAATCTGTTATGATGCCGCTGAATCCCCCTCCCCAGCCCGCCCTCCCTTCTTGGGATCCAAATCCACCTAAAGGCCCTTGTTCCTCATGACCACCCGACGGTCTCATTTACTCCTCGAGCCATGCCACCCCCTCTCAGATGTCCTTGTGCTCCATCAATCGGCTGAGGACACACCATCTGTTTACACTCCAGAAAAATGCCCCTGAATCATTTCACACGGTGCCCTTTAGCTCACAGCTGTGCCCACACGCCACAGCTCATGTTCTGTCAGTGCTCACCTGCGCTGAGTCTGGAGAGAAAGCACTCCCCTCCCTCCCCCCTTATTTTTAAAAGAGCCAAGGCCTGGATAACCTGGTGGAAATGTTCGACCCACCCAACCGAGGATTTGAGACTGTGATGATGCGGCATTCCCAACCGCTGGCAGACACCTGTTGGATAAAGTGTCTCCACTTTTCCAGGCTGGGTTCTAAATTTTCTGGGTACCCAGGAAGGAGCTGGGAAGGAGGCACACCTCCTCCACAATCAACTCCAGGAAAAGGGGCAGCACTCACTGCTTTGGGGGGTCCTTGCCCAAGAGGAATGGGAGAAAGGTGGGGTCCCAGGCTCCTATAGTAGCTCAGGCTGCATCTTTCCACTCCAGGAGTGGAGATAATCCAGCGGGGAGGGCACGCGGCCCAACAGGCTTCCAACCCCAGCATTTCATATGATACATCCCCCTCTCGCCAACCCCAGCCCTGTCAAGAGTGATCCCTGAATGCAGAGCCAGGAGTAAGCCTTGAACGCTGCTGGGTGTGGCCCCCCAATCAAAACCCAATATTTTCCCATTCCAGCCTCTGCCACATGGAGCTGGCTCCCGGACTCAATCAAACAACCAAGCCAGCAAGCAACCCCCCAGCCCCAGGTGGCCGTTCCTCCCATCAGCCCAGAGCCTGCCTGCTTTCCCAGGGGGGTTCTCTAGGCCTATGCTTTCAGCTTACACCTGAGCAGAAAGTTTAAAAGCTGACACTTGCAAAGTGAGCTGAATTTCGTGGGTGTGATCCATTCAAACCTGGTCATCTGCGACTCTTCTCAAATCTCAAAGTGGGGGCCAGGAAGGGGGGGAAGAGTAAGAGAGAGAGAGAGAGAGAGAGAGAGAGAGAGAGAGAGAGAGAGAGAGAGAGAGCAGCGCTGGGGGGGGGGGGGATACTTAGCCATCCATCTAGGGCACTCTGAAATTAAAACGGTTTGCTGCAAAGAACAATCATCACTTTCCATTTCTCTTCCCTTTTAAAGCAAACTGCTAGGAGATAAGCGATTGGAAATAAAAAATTCCAGAATGTCAAGAAAGCGTCCCTTTCTGGGTGGATTTCGGAGAAAATGACATTTGGCGAGAAAAGGCAGGAAAAGCATGCATGGTCAAGTGTGAGGGGGGTCCCCTCGTCACCGGGCGATCCGGAAGCTGCTAGAAGCCGGCCCGGGTTTCAAAATGACTAGTACAGGATGTGCCGACAGACGGAGCGGCGGCGCGCGCGGCTGGGTGGGACTTGCCAAAGTTCCTGCTGCAAAGTCCCCTGAACTTTCGCAGGGTGCCGGGGGGGTCAGGGACCGCGCTGCCCCCGCCCCCGGCCCGGTTGCCCTCCCCGCCCGCCGGCCCCGGGAGAAGCGTGCAGGGAGGATAGCGGGGCGCCGGGGAGCGGGGAGCGGGCGGGCGAGCGCCGGTGCCCGAGCGGGGAGGCGGCGGGAGGGAAGCCGGGGCCAGCTTTTGTGTCCCGGGAGCTGGCGATCGCGGCCCCCGAGACCCGCCAGTGGCTCCCCGACTCCCGCCCCCGCGACCCCACGCGCGCGGACCCCGCGGCGGCCGGGATGCTCGGGCCGGGGTCGCCGCCCCCGCCGAGGCTCCTACCTGCGCGCGCGGCGAGCTCGGGGCGCCGGGCCCGGCCGGCGGCGTCTGCGCGCGGCTCCGGTTTCCTCCTCGCGGGCCGGCGGGGCGCGGGGGAGGTGCGGAGGGCGGGCTCGGTCCCCGGGGCCCCCGCCGGCCTCGCTGCTGCAGTGCGGGGCCCCGCGGCCGCCCCATCCTTCGGCCTTCGGGGGCGGGGGGCGGGGGGCGCGGCCCGCGGCCTGCTCGGAGCAGGTGGCGGCGCAGCGCCGGGGAGGGAGGACACGCTGCCAACGCGCCCCGCTTCCCTGGGGGTTGAACACGGGCTGGCGCGGCGGGAGAATCCGGGAGTTGAGGAGGGGGGTCTCTGCCTGTTCAGCCCCCGGGAGCCCCCTTTCTCACCAGTCTGGCGAGATGCTTGCGGGGGCGGGGGCTGTGCTTCCCGCTTGCGCGCCCCCCGGGCTCGGGGTACGAGAAGCACAGCAGGACACCTGGGGAGATGCAAGACCAGGATGGCGGTGGCAGGGAGCAAGCAACCCCTCTCCAATCCCGGTTCCACCCAGTAATCACCCTGGCTGGACCAGGACCTGGGGTTGGGGGTGTGGGCGTGAGAGGCAGAGGAGGCTGGAGGGAGAAGGGGAAGGTGGAGAGGAGAAGAGGTTGGAGAAACCCCAGCAGGAAGTCCAGCAGAGTTTCAGGGATCCAGTCCGTTGGGCTCCTATTTTATTTTATTTTATTTTATTTTTTTCTTTTTGGGTGACACCCGGCAATACTTAGGGGTTACTCCTCGCTCATGCACACAGGAATTACTCCCGGTGGTGCTCAGGGGAACATATGGGAAGCTGGGAATTGAACCCAGGTTGGCTGAGTTCAAGGCAAACGCCCTACCCACTGTGCTATCGCTCCAGCCCCTGGGACCTTATTTTAGGGAGTCGGCTGAGATCCCGGGTTGGGGCTGTAGAGTTGCCCTTGAACCCAAACCTCAGCTATACACACACACACGTTTGGCCTCGGTGAGCTGCTGAAGGTCTCCACTCTCTCCTCGGACTAGTGCTGGGGGCTGGGAAGTAGGACAGTGGTGAGCAGGGTTCCGTGAGTGGGGTTCTATTTCCTGCACCAGAAGGCTCCCTGAGCATCTCCAGGCGTCGCTGTGGCAGCCCCCAGCACTGCTGCGGTGATCTGGGGATCCCCAACATGCAGGGTCCAAACCACCACATCCTGCATCTTCAGGTACTGGACCACTAGCCTGACCTCCACTAGGGATAAAAATAAGTAAGTGGAGTGTGCAGGAGGGAGAGGACGGACACCTGCAGAGGCATTGTAGGGGGTCACCCAGCGTGCACTTTCCAGGATCACAGTGAGGTTGGACTGGGAACCCTTGTCCCAGTGCAGGGCCTCAACCAACGGTCCCAGCTTGCGACTTAAGACCCCAGAGGTGGTTCAAGGTGTCCCCCTGCTTGGCCACCCTGTACCCTCCCCAGAAACTATGTATTCCTAGAAATGGACCCAGTTCTTGAGTCCTGTAGGAGGTTCCTGAACCCATTCACCTGGAGGCTCACATTCAGGGTGCTGGATTCAATCAGGACACAGCAGTTTTAGTTTCTAAATTGTAATACCACCCCGTACCAGGTTGAACCTCATGGAGCGGGGGGGGGGGGGGGGGGGGGGGGGGGGGGGGGGGGGGGGGGGCGGGGCAGGCGAGTCCCACCATCCACCTAACAGGGTCCTGGCAGCCAAAACCCTCCAGAACCCAATTGCCACCATGCTCAGGGCCTATTTTCACAGGCTCAGATAAGCCTCACCCACGAATAAATCTGTTGAAAAACTCAGGTATTGTATTGCAAATCATAGGAAATGCACAAAAAGAAAGGAGAGAGAGAGCAAGAAGGAAAGGTCCTCCTATAGAGGGAGTCTGGGGTGGAGGATGGGGTTTTGGAGGGCGATGGTAGGGAAACAGGGAACATTGGTGGTGGAAAATGCACACTGGTGGAGGGATGGGTGCTGGATCACTGGATGACTGAAACCCAATTATGAACAGCTAGGTAATGGTCTATCTCACGGACATTCAATTAAAAATTTGTTTAAAAAGTCATGTGGAGTTCATGCCCAATTCAACCAGCTTAATCAATAGCTAAATAAATAGCAGTACTCCTACATTTATAAAAAGAAAAACCTCAGGTATGTGGGTTTTGTGACTCAAATCTCCAGGCTCTCATGGAGTTAGGGATGGGCAATTTCCCCCATTCTCCTGTTCTTCCAGGAGGCTGGCAGTCATGCCTACAAACTGCCTCTGGTGCCACCGATGATCCTGAGACTCACAAAAAAATCTCGGAACAGATCAACAAGCTGTAGTGATGCCTCAGACCCCAAAGTCACCATCCAGTTAAAAATCTAACGTCAACTGTATCACCTTATTTAAAATTTTAGAATTTCTGGAGTGTGCAGCCATGACATCATCTCTTACTCTACACCACTGATGTACCAGGAGTAGTACACGTTGGATAGAATGTAAGGTAGAGGCAACCAATCTCAATTAAAAAAATATTAGCACACAAGTCAAAACCTGAAACAACAGCAGGTTAGTAATCTTATACAAGAGCTCAATGACTCCAGGGTGAGATACAACAGTCTTCTTCTAGAGAAAATCTTTTTGATCATCTTTAGAGAATTATTTATAACAAACAATACAAAGTAAATTATTTAGGGCCTGGTATTGGGGTAGGCTTGGGTGGTGGTTGGGAAAATTAGAAATGGTGATGGGAAGGTGTAATGGTGGTGGGATTAGTGTTGGAATACTGAATGCAATAAATTATTGTGAACAATCTTATAAAAATAAAGTAAAATTTAAAAACAACAAGAACAACCACCACCATACTCTCATACTAGCAAGAGTTGTTATTCCTTAATGGGCCAGTATCATGATTCTCTGGGGGCCATTTGTTGTAGGCACTTCACATTTATTATCTTTAATCCTCACAAAATGCCACAGACCCGAGAAGATGAGTTCCACTTGGCTGCTGAGAAAGCAAAGAGGCTCCAGTCTCTTGCAGGCCATGGAGCCCAGATTGTGAGGACCCAACCACCCACAGCTCCTTCTACCACTGTCTCCCTGGCCTCTTGTAGCAGCAATCTTGACACATGAGCTCATTCTTGGTTATATCACAGTTTTCTGTGTACTTCACCTCAAATATTTATTTTGGGGGAGTTTGGGAACATACCCAGTGGTACATAGGGGCTACTCCTGGTGTTTGGAGGACCACGGGATGCTGAGAATCAAACCTGGGGTTCCTGCATGCAAAGCCTTCATTCAATCAGCCTACTGAGCATCTCTCAACCCCCTTTTTACCCCTCATTTTCTCCCTCTATTCCTGCTATACCCACTGTCACCCCAACTCCCTTTATCCCAGAGTGCAGGAGAGTTTAGAGACAAGAGGCAGTTGGATAGGGTGCTAAGCAGGCCAGGAAGGTGGGAAGAAGGAAGCATAGGAGAACAGAGGCAACCCAAGGCCATGTCCCCCATACTATCACAGGCTGGGAACCATTCCTGGCTCCTCTCCATTGTAGAAACCCGGCAAGTCCCAGCTCATGAATTTTGTAAAACAACTAATTAAAAATAATCTATTTATTTTATATAGTCGTTCATGATGATTTGTTACATTCAGTATTCCAACACCAATCCCACCACGATTGCACTTTCCCATCACCATTATTTCAAATTTTCCCAACCACCCCTCCCTCAAGCCTTTCCCGATAGCAGGCCCTGAATAATTAATTAATTAGTGTTGCCATTATAAATAATTCACTAAACATAATCAAAAAATGTTTCCTTAGAAAAAAGTGTGCGAAAATTGTTCTATCTCACCAGGAAGCCCTTCAAGCCTTGTATAACAGAGTATTAACAGGTTGTTACAGGGTAAGCCTTGTGTGTTTATATTTTGTTAGTCGAGATTGGTTGCCTTCTGCTTTGCATTCATTCAGTGTGGTGTGCTACACCACTGATACCACTGTGGTTATCAGTGATGCAGAATTACGCTGTGTGCTCTAGGAGTTCAAAACTTTTGCATGGGTGATACAGATAGAGTTAAATTTTTAACTGGATGGTGACTTTGGGTGCTCCAAACCCAAAATTCCTGAGTGTATGAGCCTGGTGCGGGATCTGGAAACATCTCTGCAACTTTTTTTTAGTTTCTTTCGAGAGATTTATTTATGAGTTACTCAGAGATTTTTTGGGGGGTCACACCCAGTGATGCACAGGGGTCACTCCTGGTTCATGCACTCAGAAATTACTCCTGGCCGTTCTCGGGGGACCATATGGGATGCTGGTAATCGAACCCAGGTCGGCCATGTGCAAGGCAAACGCCCTACCTGCTGTGCTATCACTCTAGCCCAGCTCAGAGATTTCTAAGTGATACAGTTGCCCGTTTGCCCACACCCTCATCTAGGTGAGAGAAGAACCATGGCCTTGTGAGCAGCCATGATTTCTGCTTTGATGTGCTAGTCTTGAGGCCAGTTCATCCCCTGGGAATGACATGGAGGCCTTATAAAAACACAGGCCTGGAAACAGCTCCCTCTTGGTGCTGCCATAAACAGTTGTCTCAGAGTCGTCTGCATCAGCAGCACTAAAACATCCAAAAGGGAAACTTGGGGCTTGCTGGGATCCAGGGGAAGGACAGGATGAAGACTGGGCAGCAGGGATAAAACACCACACTGTCCCCACACAGCTAGGACAGGTGAGAGGCCCTCCAGGTGTGCCTGCAGGAGCCCTCGCCAGGCCTCATCCTGCAGAGCCCCGGAGGCATTCAAGGAATCTGTAGCCAGCTGCATTTTAATATTCATGGTATATATTTTTCCCAAGTATGTAATTAAAATTTCTGTTTAGATCAATGCAGTTCTCTTCATGCATCCTTTTCTAATGAAGAGCTTCTTACCCCTCACTTGGTAGCTTGTCCATTTTCTTTTTTTTTTTTTTTTTTTTTTTTTTTATTAGTGAAAAACCATGAGGTACAGTTATAGGCTTACAAATTTTGTGCTTGGGTTTCAGCTATACAATGATCAAGTCCCCATACCTCCACCAGTGCCCGTCATTTCAAACATCAGTTATTTGCTTTGGCAATCGAATCTCTGCGTGTGCCATATTTTTTCTTTATAACTATTTTTTCTTGCTGTATTCTAGCTTACAGTACTATGCTGCTCTATGCTTGTAGAGTTGCTACACCAATCCCTCCCCCAGCATTTCCATCTCCACCCATCACTGTCCTCACTCTCCTCACCTGCCCAGT